CTACCTGCCACGAGGAAGTCGCAGGAAGGTTCTCTATCTCTGTCCCTCGTTTCGATAGACGTAGCAGACACGCTTCCTGTTGGCGTTCACCGGCGATGTGGTTACGTGGAAATCGAGCACGAGCTTGGCTTGACCGATATTTCTAGAGCGTCGTCGCTTTTAATTGGACCGCCTTCGTTCTCGCCTCGAATTTGCCGCAAATCGCGGCTTGCCGTTCCGAATGGTGTCGGTCGGTTGTGCAGATCGAAGTGAAACTTGGTGGGTTTCGTGGGTAAAAGGCAGGGCAGAGGGGAGAGGGGGTTGGGGGGGTTGATAATGAAACACACGAAATCTCGAATCGAGAAAAGAAGCGAGGAAATTGTGGAAATACGAAATAGCGAGTATCGGGGAGATCGAATCGAATCCTTTGTCTCGATAATAATTTACGAGTCGCGAAAATGAGATAAAAGGGAATGAGGTTAAGAAAAGAATATATTTTTCTGTTATTTCTTTTAAACGACGATTTACACTAGCAAACTTTATAGAAATATCAGGATCTATCCGTGTTATTTTATTTTACTTAAAGACGGTGACAACATAACCTTACTTTTTATCCTACGTGGAATAGAAAGAAGAAATCACAGCTTGAAAATGTTTGGAAAACAATGTTCTATCTTCATGACACTCACCAAGTTGCACTTCTATCATCTATTCTTTTTTAGAGAAACTATTTTTATTCATTTTGATATATAAATATATATAATTACACTGACAAACTCTCTACAGAAATATCAAGGAACAATCTATTCTTTTACGATTTTATTTGTCTTAGTTAAAGACAGTAACGACATAACCTTACTTTTTAAAAATTTTCTTATCTTATCTTATATGAAAGAAAAGAAAAGAAAAGACAAACACAGTTTAAAATGTTTGAAAAACATTGCTCTACTTTCACGACACTCACGAAGTTGCACTTCGACCATCTACCGACGCCTTTCGGAATTATATCGAATCGCAATTCGATTATTCGATAGTTCTCGAAAGCTTCCACGATTCAATCGAGATCTCGTAATTCGTGTCGCGGTTTCGTTCGAATCGCCGCTTATACAGAACACGGGGCTTATAGGTCGTAGCAAGAACGATGACAGGCTCGCGCGGGGATTAAGGGGTATTTATCGGGATTCGTAATGCGGTCAAATCGGTAAAGAGCGCTCTGGTTGTTCGGCCAAAGCGTTACGAGCTATTTTCACGAAACTGCCGGAAATATCAACGAACAATTTAGATTGGAACGCTTTGCATTTCAACATTGCATTGATTTATTAAAAAGTTTATTTCCGTATTCTATTTTTTATTTTTATCGTTATTATTATATTTTGATATATCGAATGATTAAGTGGCATTATTATTACGCGTATTAATAATAATTTTCTTCTCTCAACTAGCGTCCAGAATCGATTCTTTCGAATTTATCGATTCTTCTTTGTATGGATATCTTCTTTGAGCGAAATTATTTATCGAGCGTAATTACTTAAGAGGTCGAGACACTTTCTTTCCTCGTCTGGATTAATCGATACCCGACGAGCCGAAATAAACTCGAGCCGTATCGTTATTGCGTCACGACTATCGAATCTCTCTTTCTCGATATCTTTCGCGAGATATATTGAAATTACTGATTTGGTTTTGCCTTCGATCGAAAATTCGCCAAAATTTTTGGTCGAATTTACAAGACGATGATAACGAGGTCAAAGAAATATTTCATATTTCGTTTCATTTTTTTTTTTTTTTTTATCTTCATTTCCACGCTTTTACAAAAAAAGAGAGAAGAATGTTAATCGATAATACTTTTGATTTTTTAATAATTCTCATTTAAAATATTGTGATTATATGTATATAATTTATCATAAATTTAAATTGTTATTACTTTTTTAAATTTTTTTTTTATATTCTTCCATTAATATATTAATGATATTAATAAATTATCATCATTAATATTATCATTATTATTATTATTATTATTTTCCACTACGCATTGTGCGTAAAATACCGGATTTCCGGAATGCAACAATATTTCCATTTGATTGACATATTTCCATAAGATTTCATTTAAAATTTCAATTTTCCTTGAAACATTATAATGTTGCAAACATTTGCAATTCCGGAATTGAAGAACTTTGCCGCGATGACCCTTGTGCAACAATCACAATGTTTTTTAAAGCCTGCCACGATGAATTACAATAATAATTCCGATTAAAATTTCGAAATTGTATCGTTAATCGTTAAACGCTTATAATTACTTCTAATAATTCTCAATATTTTTGAATTATTAGAATGAAACCAACTCGATGAAATAATAAATTTTTCCAAAAATATCTTTCCATAAATTGAAAGGACCAGTGAAATTACGTAATTATATTTCTTCCAATACGATTCTATTCTTGATGAAACTTACACAGTACAACACATTTTACACGGTAAAATGACGCATGTATCTTGCTGGGCCTTTCAATTATGAAATAAGAGACATGGAAGGAATCTGGTCCTTTTGACAATTGACAATATTATTGATCGCATGCGGGCTTCTCTT